CAATATGACCGATATTAAGGGTCGATACTTATAAGGTAATAATGTAATAGAGTAATAGGGTAATCGGGTAACAAGGTACTGACAAAATGTATAATACGATCGTGAAGAGCCTTCACGGTAAAATAAGGGAAATAAATACAACAATACAACGGTAAACTTATATAACATCAATTCGAGAAATCAATTCTTAATACTCCCCTATAAGAAATTGTGGCACGGGATGATACTGCAATGTACGAAAAAGTTTGAATACGGAACTACACAAACTTGCACGTAGAACTATACGAGATATTGTATGAGAAAGCACGTTTACAGCACGTAAAAGGGCGCGGATTCTGTGCAACAGTGCACGTACTAACATGCAATTTTATGTGTTTTCTCGTGCATTGTCTCGTGCATATTTATGTGCAGATAACACATAATAACGTACGTATGTACGTTCCACACATACATTTGTATACACCATTCCATATACAAACAGGTATTATAATATGTATTTTTATAATAATTTTATTAACTGGATTTTATAATCTGAATACTTTAATTTATTAAGTTATGAAAACATTACATAAAAAACTTTAATTTACATGCTAAATAAGAAAATATCATCAAAACTTCTAACTTCAAAAGTAACCCAGCAACTAACAACGACAGGTAAAAAAAAAAAAACTAAATCAATAGTACCAAATAAAAAGTACAAAACTACAACGACCTAAAAAAAAAAAAAAAAAGAAAAATCACAATGATAAACAAAAAGTTAGATAACTTCAAAAGGGTGACTCCAAAAGTGATGTTAAAATCGATAGGAATACAAAAACCAGTACAAAGTTAGTAAAAAAATGAAAGAAGAAAATAAAAAAGATGACAAACAATGACACGATGCCTGCAAACATGACGAAGAACTCCAAACGAGCGACTCCCAAAGTAACAATTCCAAAGGACGACCCCAAAAGGCGACTCCAAAAACAACAGCAATAGCTAAAAAAAAAAATCAATCAACAGTCAGTGAGATATGTAAAATAGAAAAAAATAAGAAAAATTGTAAGTGAAAAAAAATAAAAAAAAAACAAAAAATATTTATTTATTTACTCACAGATCGAATATGATAGGTACGCGTCAGTGCACGGAAATTATGATCGTTAAGAATCTTAACGATCGTTATGTTAATGCACGGAAATTATGATCATTAAGAATCTTAATGATCATCACGTTAGTGCACGGAAATTATGATCGTTAAGAATCTTAACGATTGTACACGTCAGTGCACGATCATTAAGAATCTTAACGATTGTGCACGTTATTGCACGGAAATTGTGTGATCAGTAAGATTCATACACGTCAATATATGGATATAATATTATGCATGACAGTGCATGGATTTCGAATTTTTCGTGTAATAATGTGTATTAAATTTTTTGGATAAACAGTTTCCCGTGCAGTTTCCGTGTAGTGATTATGAAACCCGTGCTTGCCCGTATAAAATCCCGTATTTATGCATGTGTTTCCATGTATCGACTTTTCATAGGGTCCTATATTAAAGACAATGAAATCTAAAGCTTTATTTGAAGAACGAAAAGACAGCTCTTTTATACTTTCGAAATACATAAAATAAGGCTTTTACATATTCTTTGGTTTATTTCTATTTGTTGGGCCCGACCAGGACCTTCTACCAGGCTTATCTTTACTAATTTAACCTTTCTTGGACTCCTAACTAAGCTTTGGTACTGGTCGGTACCTTCCAAAGGCTTTTCTATGTAACTAACCTTTCTACGCTAACTTTAGCTTACTTCTGTGCCTCAATATAACAAACATACTATAAACAAATAAAAAGAATCTATAGATATAAAAATAAACAAAGATGACGAATAAGATAAATATTTGTATAAATCTAAACTTCCAAGCTTTCGCCACAACCCAGCCTTACAGTATACACGTTCTCGTTACTACAAGTCACGATTTTTCAAAGAAAAAGCGTGACACTACCATCGCGTATTTATCTCAATTTCTTGGGGAGAACTCCTGTTTGCATAAGCGAAACCGCTGTATGTCGTCCCAAAATCTTTTCATAACAAAAAATCAACTTAAATGTCACTTTAATTAATAAATCTAATAAAAACGAATATTAATAAGATACCAATCCCAACGACTAATTTTATATCATCCAACTGTCGGCGATGTAAAGAACTCATTGCAGATAATTAAATTGATAGTAGAAAGACACAGCTTAAATTTATAGTTGAAAAACTTGTGATGTATTGAAGAGTAGTACAATAAGTAATTAACTTTAAAGACTTCATATTATTGTTCTTGGATTTCAACTTTTCATTGATAAGAGCTTTATATGGTTTTACCGGTGACTACTTTCAGATTCAAACTTTCCAATATAAGTTGTGATCATCTATCGCTATCGTTCGTTGAAAATTCTCACGACGAAAATGTAAACAATGACAATCTTTGGTGCTAACTATGGTAGACAGATGATGTTCCGAATATCCGTGGCTGGGCATATCGATATATAAAGTAAAATAATAGATTCATTAAAAAAAAATTTTTTTTTTCCAAGTTTATTATTCTAAAATGAGCCGACTTCATTACTATCGCTATCTGTCATGGGTGAACTGTTAAAAATTCTCACGACGAAAATGTAAACAATGACAAATTTTGGTGCTAACTATGGTAGACAGATGATCTTCCGAATATCCGTGGCTGAGCGTATCGATATATAATGTAAAATAATAGATTCTTTAAAAAAATTTTCCAAGTTTATTCTTCTAAAATGAGCCGACATCATTATACGTATTTTGGAAGGTTTGGAAGTTATCTTAAATCCGAAGCGTTAGCGAGGACTCATATTTCTATGCAATGTCCGGCGGAAAAAACCGATGAAAATCGAGAATTTCAGGTCCCATGAACGATCTGCAGTCAGTGTAACACATATAGTAATATTTTTCGCTTCGGACCTATATCAGATTCTGATTTCCTAGTATTATAATATTATGATAGCATTATAAAAAATTTTAATTAGATAATTAGTTTTCGTTTTAGATTGTATATTTATAAAAATAATTTATAATTTTAATTTAAACTAGTATTTTCACAGGACAGTTGTAGACATGGAATAAGGGAAATTATAGGCATTTTCGTGCTTAAAGTTTATTTACAGTTATTATCATAATTCCTGGGACACCTGTAAAAATTGGCCGAACGATTTCGGCCGATTCGGTTAAGTTTGTGATTTCGGAAATAATTGATTCAATAACAGATAAATTGATATATCAGATATATACGTAATTTAACATCTGGCAACTAATATAAATATTACAGATTAAATGACACATATCGATATGTATATCTTTGGTTGAATACAGAATTATGATGCTTTCAAAGCAAATTCGAAGGCAAATAGTTACAAAAAAATTTAGAAGGCTTATCAGTTCGAAAAATTGCCAAATAATTAGGTGTTAGCAAGTCTTCTATGAATCGGGTTCTCAGGCACTTCAACGATATTGAAAAACTTCTATCACTTTCAAGAAAACCACGTTTACTAAACACGAATGATATAAAATATCAAAACTTTAATGAATGAAAAACCTGATTAGTATTTGTATGAATTACAATCCGAAATGGAACTTTGTTTGGATATAAAATTAGTCGCATTACAATTTAAACAGTTATATATATCGACTTATATATGCACATAAGAAAGTATTATATATATACTGTATCTATATCTATTTTTCTATTTTATAAATTTATATCCGTGTTTTTTATATTTCTTGTTAAGATTTATTGGTTAGCAAGAATAATCTTTTCATAAATTTTCGTACAAACTAAACACACTAATATGTTGGGTAAAGTATTCAAATGAAAATTTAATCACGTGAATGTGTCGATAGTATAATTATAAATTATCTGTAGAACAAAAATTATCTGTAGAACAAGTATGATACATTTAAAATCTATATACCAATCATCATCATGCCGAATTCAATAACTCTGGAAAATCTGGCAAAAATTGACCGACCGAATATTTGCCGATTCGATAAGTTTTTTGATCCGGATGTAATTACATCCGAATAAAACTTATCGAATCGGCAAATATTCGGTCGGTCAATTTTTTTCCAGATTTCCCAGCATTTATGAGAACAGCTGTAAATAACTGATTTTTACTACAAATAACCAGCGATAATTATTATCGCCTCTTATTTTTAGGATGGGGTTAGAGATAAAGGTTCAAATTTAGTTAGGGATAGGTTTTTGGAGTTCTGAACATTTTTGCTTAGTACCCCTGACATGAATTAGCTAGTAGATTTTTGAAATATAGCATCCTGGTGATAATCACCGCCGGGTATAGTTAATAATATTCTAATAATTCATTAGAAATTGATCCAGATGATGCGTTCCTGTTGAGAAATCGTGAGGCAGAATGGGCAAATATAAGGAACTACTTGGTGATTTAAATAAGTGATTCAAAAAAAGTGCAAATGCATGGAAAAATATAAAATATAATGAAAAGATGCAAAGAATCACTTGCAGTATACATAAATCGTTAATGATCGAAAAAAAAAATAATGCAATTGCATTAAGGAGTCATGGGATAATCGACTATATGATAGGTAGATATGAACGATCTCTTAGACTTAAATGAATCATTAAAGATCGACCCAAGTAATGCAAAGTATACCTTCGTAACAGGCTATTACGCAATAGCTTACTTAAGACAACCAATAGAAATATACATACTGTATAATCAAACCCTAAAACTAAACATTATAAATAGACATAAATAGACACGTTATACACGTAAACATCACTCGTCATTATAATTATACAACAAATCATTCTTTGCTTTGAAATAACGAAGTTTTATTATGAGCACATTAACAATCTAATCTCATTTCATAGAACATAAATTAATGATTTATTAATTTTTAAAATAATGAATACGAATATTTATCTTTCATACAAAAAAAAAATCAATCCATAAAAGGTAATATTTTTTACACTTCATACTTGAAAGTTGCATGATATATTTCACCTGTAAACTTATTTCTAGCCATTGCTTTTATTTCCATCTTGCCAAAAGTTAATCCAAATTCAATAAGACGAATTCCTGATGATGGCGTTCTGGATAAAGCGATTTTTAGGGTACCAAGTACCCGCATTTCATTACTAATGTATTTTGGTCTAATTTCTCTTGTAACGTATACGCGAAATTCTGCCACAGTTTGGTCATCATACAATGGTTTAAATACATCATCAAAAGTCTGGTCGACTTTAACGTCATCCCCACGATATGCAAGAGGTTTGAACTTCACTATTTTATTATCATCGGTTCTAAAATATTACTGATTACAGTGAATTTACGAGTTTAAATTACTATTAATTTATAATTTAACTTACCGGAGGTCAGGTGGATCATTACTAATGTCAAAATCTTCCATTATCTCTACTCCGTATGTCCATTTCAAGACTCGACTTTTAACCTGGCCCATATTTAGTCCGTATTTTACAGCGCCTCTAACGATAGCCGCTATCGGATCTCGAGGAGACGCAATAATGGGTACGCGTCTTTGAAATTGTTCTCGGATTCGGTTTATTAAATACTGAGATTCACTAAAACCTCCAACCAAAAACATTGCCTTGCATTTGTGTTTTACTTGTTTTCTTGTAAATTCAAACAATTGATTATTAATTAACTTGATGATTTTTTCGATTATTGGGTCGAACATTTTTTTTACTGTCTCGAACTCTAATTCGATAAGCCATTCATTCTTTTCTAACTTAGTTCTTTGTGCTCCAGTGATATATTTCAGCAATGAGGGGCACTGTGCCTCGAGATCCAATTCAATGGTATTAAAATTATCGGGATCTCCAGTGAAGTCAATCTTTACTTTCTTACAAAAAAACTCATGAACGAGTTTTTGCAAATCACCGTAAGCATATGTCCGTATCTTTTGTAAGGCATTAGAGCCTATTATGCGGCCTATAAATTTTATGAACTCTTGATCTATATATGTGCTTCCACATAGATCTCCAGTTCTTACTGTTTCTTCTTTTAATCTGTTGCCCGGTAGTTTGGTTCTCATTGTGAGATCGACTGTTCCACCACCGCAATCAACGACGAGAAATGTATCTACGAAAATTAATAATTGTCGTATTTGATATTAAAAAATGTTAAAGTGTAATTAAATCTGAAACTAAAGCATTGTATTGGTAAATCAGATCAATTGTTTTATTCTTAGTTCCAGCTTAACTGAATTTTTGCTTTGGAAGGCATCACAATAAATAAACACATTATTAAGTGTATTTACAAGGGAAAGTTTGAATAATAGTTAACCTAGTGATCATTGTACTATCAAATAACATTCATTTTGGCACGGTATACGTAGTTTAGGTCATGATATGCTTATTATGTGATTATTGATCACTGGGTTAAATGTCCTTCAAGCTACAGGCACAACATTTCAGGTGCTTATGTGCACAACAAATGGCCAAAATTAACATTCAAGTTAAGATTAGGGCTTATATGCACAACAATGACTGATTTATCACGTGTGTATTGTGCTGTAGCTTTTGCCCGTCGCTTCAACACACTAAGATGCTAAAATTTGTGTTACATCTGATCTTATAAAAGATTTTCCTTTTTCGGTTTGTATCACTTGCAAAGGAACCAAAATTACAAAACGGGAAACAATGACATAATTATATTAACGTTAAGTTTAAATACCATTTTGAATACCAACCTCCTTCCCTTAATTTGTGTTCCTTAATAACTGATAAGCAATGAATTGCTGCCGCCTCCGCTGTCGTTATGGAATAACGAGAACTCAATTAATGTAACTAATCATTAAACAAGATATAAATGTAGTACGAAATAAGGATAATTACGTTCTGTCGTAAACTCTAAGTGTGATTCGATGGATTCGTCTAATCTGTAATTGAATTGTGTAAGCGATAAACAAGGTTACAAGTTATAATTAAAATTCATACTATAATAAAATATATTTAATTACAATCCAGCTTTGTATGCGCAGTCGCGCATTATTGCTTTAGTATGCGGTCCCTAATGATAAAAAAAAAAATAATAAGATTCGAGTGTTAGTGACTCGCTCGTTTTCTAAACTTTTGACAGGTTAGTAACTTACCCATTCTGCAGGCACACATAAAACAAATTGTACTTGTGATAATTTGAGGCCTGGCCAACGCTTATCAAGCGTTTCTTTTATGACCTACAGTATTTAATCCGTAACTGATCAATATTCAAGCGAACTTATTTTAAGCTTACAAATACTCACTCCTTTCATTTTACTTAAATAATCACTAATAGCCTTTCTATAATCTAAACATCGTGGTAAATATAGCTTGTTTGATTTATTTGATGCATTATCATCTTGAAATAATTTGAATCTTTCAATAACACGGTGTTGTGGTGGAAGTGGCGAGCCCGATTCTTTAATATTATTTTTAATTTTTCTTGGCACATGAAGTAACGCGGGCCCACCCCAATTCAATACTTCGGTACAATCACTATTATATAATAACACAGTATCTGTTTTGAAGGAACCTCCTTTCCCGGGCCTAAATTACGATAAAAAGTCATTTAATTTTGTAATCAGTTCAATAAATTATGATTTATCTGTAAGAAATCTTAAATATTTCAAGATCACCATTGCGTATTCGTCTCAATTTCTTTAGAAATCTTGTTGGCATAAGCGAAACCGCTGTTTGTTGTCCCAAAATCTTTTCATAAAAAAAGATTGGTTTAAATGTCACTTTAATAAATCTAATAAAAACGAATATCAGTAAGATACCAATTCCAACGACTACTCTTATATCATCCGACTGTTGGCGACGTAAAGAACTCATGGCAGATAATTAATTTGATAGTGGAAAAACATGGCTTAAATTTATAGATGAGACCTTGTGATATATCGAAAAGTAGTGCAGTAAGTAATTAACTTTAAAGATTTCATATTAATCCTGTTTATTCTTGAATTTCAACTTTTTATTAATAAAAACTTTACCGTTTGTATATGGTTATACAGGTGACTACTTTCAGTTTCTATCAACTTCCTAATCAAAAGGGTCTGATCATCTAACGCTATCTGTTGTGGGTGAACTGAAATGTGAACAATGACAAATTTTGATGCTAACTATAGTAGACAGATGATCTCCGAATATCCGTGGCTGTGTATATATATGTATAAAGTAAAATACGTAATACTGTAGATTTTTCAAAAATTTTTTTTTTCAAGTTTATCCAACATCATTATCCGTATTTTGGAAGGTTTTGGGGGTTATCTTTAATATTCATACTATAATAATATAAAGGATTAGTATAACCTGATCCATTGGGATTGGGTATTAGCGGAAACTAAGTTTTCGCTTGTATACATTTGATTAGGATATTATTAATTATTACCTCGTGATCTAGGGGTATTATAAAATTATAAAAATTATTCAAATTAAGAAATGATTAGTTTTCGTTTTAGATTGTACAGTATATTTATAAATAATTTTAATAACTTTAGTTTAAACTATAATATTTATATAATTAAAGCAAATTAAAAAATTTTGTAGCATATAAATATTGGAGGGATTTCGTTTGATTTATTGATATAAATCAATTGCCTGGGTAACTTATTTATATACTTCAAAGCATTTTTTGGTAACATTTTTTACCAACAAAGATCATCACAAAAAAAAACCATTCATAACTTTAAAGTGCCATCAATATTCACTATGCAAAAGAATCAAAAAAAGATCATACTCCTAGTGAATTTCGCTTAGAAGGCAAAATACACCTGCTGTTTATTGAAACATTTTGTTCAAAAACTGCTTTATTATGTTAGATTTTAAAAAAAATTTTATTACTAACTATTGGATTTGAATGAGAAGAGGTTTATTAAAAAGAAGTTTCGGGTATAATGCTTGAATATGTTTGGTTCTTGCGTTGTGTTTTGGTCTGTCAACTGTAATAGATTTTGGCTTATAGATTGTATTAATGAGTTTGGGTTTATTAATAATGAATACTGCTTTCTCTATCTTTTATATATTTGAAATAAATTAATAATAAATATCGCTTTCTCTAGCTTCTTACATATTTGTAACAAATTAATAATGAATACCGCATTCTCTATCTTTTATATATTTGAAATAAATTAATTCTTTTGCATATTTGTTAATTTATGAGCTTCTTCATACAAAATTTTGTTTGTTTTCTAGTAGTATTAAAGCGACGAATACCAGGAACGGAATGATATTGAACATTTCACGAAGTGTATGGTTATATCGCAAATTAAGTGTGGTATGTCCGCAAAGTATTTTATTGGATCATTTATGTGGCAAAGCAGGAATTTGAATGCATATAAGGAACTTCAAACGTAACATCTTTATAGGGAATATGCAATACTTTCTTCTGTATATAGGAATTTCTGTGCATGATTTGGTCCATACGTGAGTATATATTTATCGATTTTCTCATGATCCGTTGGGGTGTTCGGTATACTATGTAAATCAAAACAATATGTGGTCATATAATAAAATTTATTAATGAAGATTTTTCGATAGTTGATAATTTTATAATAATTATTATAAAAAT